AATACCTAACTCTCAGAGTTAATTTTAACACATCAGCGAAAGAGAACAAGAGAGCTTCAATAAAATGTACAGCAAAGGACATAAAAGAAAGAATCCATGAGCAAGCTCGAGAAAAAGACAGACTAGAGTCACAAGCATTAAGACAACAGAAGAATCGGCAGGCCAAGAATCAGTCTATCTTGGCTGCAAGGAGCCCTCAAATGGTGATCCAAAGCATCACGGTAGAAAGGAGAAAGAATCTGATAGAATGAAAATGAGGACAATGACCATTGACATATGGAAGCTAGCCACAATCCATGAGACCATGTCAAGATCACCCAACTTTTCTATAGGATAGAACAAGGGACCCTGAATTATATAGCTATATCAGACATGTGGGGAAGGGCTACACCCCGACAAAAACATACTTTCTAACCGTAATCTCATCACACCTTGCTTCTTAACCCGACCCATTGGCATCTCTACGGTTATAGGAAGATTGCAGTTACAAGTTATATAATCTGTTTGGGTAATTTAATGAAGCTTTGATCCCCACACCAATGAGAATAGTTGGGTTAGTGATAAGGTGCACATGGGCCCATTGATATAATGGGGAGAGCTTGTTTATCCATGGATTTGAAGCCATGCCTCCTCTTTTACGAGGATGTCTCAGAATCAATTCAACTAAGAGCCTATTGACAATTACGTCTAGATCAAAAATATCAAATTCGGGGAGTGTTCAGTAAATTGGTCTCCATAAGGTGTGGTGTGTTTGGATCTACTAAGCCTTATTGTGTAGTTAAAACCAATCACATGGTTTGAACCATATCATACATTTCAGAACTTTGCAATCTACAGCAGTATTTTTAACTCGTTGTTGATCAGGTTGATTGAATCATTCAAATCGTCACTTAACCAAGATTATGAGTCAGGTTTTCGTAAAATTCGGAGAACACTCAAAATCGTTCAACACGGACAGTTGGACCATTGATCCATTCGACCTAATGACCAGGTCATGGGTTGTACACTAAATGTATATGCAAACTTCGGGAGCCAATAACTTTGCACTACAATGTCCGACTAAGGTGAATTTTTTTTTTTTGTAACTTTTCAAGATCTATGTGCCCCAAGGATCCATACGCACCTTGCCCTACTATTTTCACCAAAAAAAAACTTTTTTACCTCAAATTGTAATTTTGAATATTTTTTATAAATAAAAAATTTAAAACTGAATTAAAAAACAGGAGTTAATATAAAATTATATATATATATATATATATATATATATTACATGTACAATATAGTTATACATTATTTATTGATAAAATACATGTTTATATATACATACCTGATTAAAAACTGAACTTCATGTCATGATTTAGTTAAGAACTTGGTAGAGTGAAAGTTTATTCCTGCATACATAGGTTTGTTCTGGCCATAGGATTGAGGGGTGTTCTTCGATATGAAATGTTTTTCTTGGTACAAGTTCTAAAAACAAATCAAAATCATATGAATTGTAAACAAATTGGTTTTAAAAAACACAAGGGGGTGTGTTGATTTTTGAAGTTCAATTAAACAATAAAAACAAGAAAAATTTAAAATGAAAAAATATAAATAAACATTTAAAGTGAAAAAGTGCAAATAAACAGTCATAAAACCAAATACATACAAGATGTATGGCTATACTATAATATCCTTACATGTAAAGTGTAAGTAAAAAGTCGTGTTCAGGAAATTTGGTCCCCTTGTGAAATGCCCCATTTATCACAGCTCATAGAATCCACGAATGGTTGTATTTAGTGCTGAGCAGACATGCACATTATGTGCACACCTTTTAGACCATAATAGCTTCCACCACAGAAAATTTAATGAAGATTCACATGCAACATTTTGGAATGATAGATAGGAATTAATCAAAGATATATATTGTCACATCACATATCATGCACTTGAGAGTTGAGATAAAATGATTAATTACTATTTTGACATTACTACCAACAGCCTCCCACATGCATCTTGAAAGTATGCCTATTTTAACTATAAACAGCCTCAAATGATAATCTATATGTCAATCAAGGTTCCAAGCATAAATATACAGCCTTCAAAAAAAAGCATAAATATACACATGATACATAAATTCAAGAGGTGATGCTTTTAAATTAAAATATTTTAGAGTAAATTGCTAAAACCTCCTCAGTACTTTTTGTATGTTACAATTCACTACTCTAATTTATGCTAATAGCATTGTCCTCCCCTAAACATTAAATCGTGATATGGTTGAACTTATAAGTTAAATCGTGATATTTTTAAATGTTAAGATTTCCCTTGGATGAAAATATATGATTTTACACAAGCCAAAATGCCCTAAAATGTGTCATCTATATCCTGCTTTAATAGTGGGTTAGAATCCACATTGACCATCACCCACCTCAAAAAACCCACTTTGATCCATAAATCCACCATACTTAATATTTTTCTCAAAACACAAAATAATATAGGAGAAAAAAAATTGAAAAAAATATATATATAATAACAAAAAGCAAAATTTTCAAAAAAAAACTTAAAAATGATATGTTTTTTCAAAAATATATTTCAACCAAAAAATCAAAATTGTAGAAAAATACATAAAATGATAACATTTTCAAGTAAAAAGGCAAAAATTGAAAAGAAAATGATAAAAAATTCAAAAATATATGCTTCAATAAAAAAGTAGAAAACATAGAAATTACATAAAATTCATAAAAAATCAAAAAATATATATAATTCAACAAACTATAAAAAATTGTAAAAAAACACAAATCTTTTGAATTTTATGGCCAATATAATAGGGAAGCACAAATTTAGAAGCCAATTTACCATTCAAACAATCAAAGTTGGACATTTTGGTAATTTTGCCTACTTTTGTCAACTAAGAATGGCAACGGGGCGGGGCGGGGACGGGGAGCCTCTCCCCATTCCCATCCCCGTCTCCATCCCCGTGGAGATTCCCATTCCCCGTAATTTTTTATAATGTTAATAATTTTGTTTTTGTTTTCTTATTTTATTTAAAAAATAAAAATAAAATAATTAAAATTTACAATCTATTAAAAAAGATTCAAACATATTCAAGTGTATTTTTAAAACATTAATATATAGATGTATATGCACATATATATTAGTGGGGATCCCACGAGCAAGGATCGAGGTCCTCGTGGGGCAGGAATGCTCTCCCCATCCCTACCCCATCCCCGCTAACGGGGATGAAAATTTTCCCATCCCCATCCTTGCCCTAAATGGGGCAGAAATGGGAAAAATTGCCATCCTTACTATAAACTCAAATAATGGAGGGGGTGTGGATGCAATAATTTTAGAAAGTTCAGGAGAAGATAGTGCGATTGACACAAAGTAGGGGTATTGAACCACAACTGTCAAAAAGTGCAAGGGAGGCTTGAACAATATACCCCTTTAAAGTTTCAAAAATCCAATTAGAACATATCTAGGAAGGGTACCTTTAAAAATGGTCATATGCCCTAATTCATAGTATTTAACATATAAGTGAGTTCATAAATCGATATGCATCATTTTCAAAGCCTTCCAAGAGTTTAATACATTTTGTATAATCAGTTCCCTCATGAGAGTTCTTAATTAATTTTACATGTATTAGAGCAAACAACCCATTAAACCTTCAATTTGGTTTGGACCTATTGAATGGTGGGTCCTGATCATACCAATGTAGCACAGATGGAAAATCATGAGGACCTAGAGTACTAATTTTAGACCATATCCCAGGGTCCATTTGATTCACGGGAATAGGGATTTAAAATTGGAATTAAAATGGCCCATTCTGATTCCAACCATTTAATTAAGTGGAATAGAGTCTGATACCATCTCTAGTAGAATGACATTCCCCCATTTGAGAAAATACATTTCCTCCCCATCACTTAAGAATGAAAATCCAAACATACATAATAAACCATTCCAATTCCAATTCCAATTTGAATGAACCCTACATGAAATCCCTCCCTTGAAGATCCGAAACCCCAAAAACATAAATGAAAAATCAATAACCAGGACAAGCCAAACACTTGGGTTGATTGAGACCTATAAAACGTAAATAGAGGGCTCAACGGCTCGACCTATTGCACTTAAACCCTTGATCAGAAACCCGGCCCAACCTATTGAATCTGGAAATGGCTGACAAGACAATAGATCCAGTACGGGTATACGTGAGATTTCTCGCTGCCCAATGTTGGATAATCATTGACAAGGATAGGACTGACACGGATCACCAACCCTCAACAACCACGCAGGGATTCTGTTCCAAACAGTACTTTCCTTCTCAAAAGGAAGAAACCACTGTTTTCAAAGGTGGCAAACGCATTCAAATCGAGAGAAGACTAATAAAAACCCTACATAAATTGCTTTTTTGGCTCAAGTAGAGAGAAGTAAAACCATGCCATGTAGCAATAACTAAACTCAGAAATCTTTTCACCAAGTTCAAAAAAAGGGCGCCAACATTCCTCTCTTTAGCCATTCAAAATAAAAGCAAAACAACCCCGAACAAATTTTCCACTCTAATCAAATACGATACCCACTTAGAAGTATATCGTTAGGATAACCGAAGTCTTTATTCTGTGCCTAGAGCGCCTATGACTGAAACAAATAATCTATCTGAATAATTATCTCAACTGCCGTAGTATGGGGTCTGCAATATTTTACATCCAAAAGCAAACCATGGTGTGCCCATTTTAAATAGCCATGCTTGAGCTGGCAAACAATTCAAAACATGATCGTAAGCTCAATCAAGAAAAAAGGACCAATTTAGCTGTTTTTTAAATCATTCTCTTGCCTTTACCCACCCACACAGCTAGAAAGCTAAGTGCCTCCCTCTCTCTGTGTGTAAGGCCAGTAAGCATGCGCTTTAGAATTTAAAGTTCAAACATTCACTAACAAAATCACATGCCAACAAGATCTGGCTGACACAGCACAGCAAAATTTGTTAAAAAAAAGACCAGAAATTGAAATTGCAGAAGTCTCAATCAGAAACAGACCCAAATAGTATCTTTGCTATTCCACTCCAACGCCCAACAAAACTAGTTCAGTGCACTATTTTCAACTCCAATTAATAAAAACGTAGTCATATTACACAAATCCATATTATCTTCAGTTCTTAGATCACCCATCCATCCATCCAAAATTCCAAATCCCTTGAAGAATGAAGAACGAAGACAGAGACCAACAGACAAGTTCGTGTTGTGTAGGACATGGAGAGTAGGAGACTCAGATAAGTAGTAGACATGTGGATGGATACGTATCCAATGCAAATGTCAAGTAATAACTTGCTCCTGGAGGAGCTGACTTTATCTTGGAAAAGTGCTCACACAGCACTTCTGCTAATCAAACACTTCACAAGGTCCTGCACCAATTTTGCACTGAAAAGTCTGAAACCGAAGAAACGCTCCCCAATCAGCCTTAACAGCGAAGTAAAAGAGAACCCATTTCTTCTTTTGGTTAATTAAAGTCAAGACATGCAAGAAGAGAAAACCCCACATCAATGGTAATCTCTTTTTCTGCTGTTGTTGCTGTGGAAGTAAAATAAACTCCAATAGTTGCTGCTAATTTACATAAATTACAGGAACACTCGTACTAAGACCACCCAAAAAAGGAAAGAAAAACCAGACACAGAGAGGGGAGAGATGGGAAGAGGAGGTAACAATTAGATGGAGTGCCACTACAAAGTCTCAATCAAGGTCAGACAGCCACTGCCGCAAATGGGGCCTTCGCCTTAGGTGGTCTACCGCGTGGCCTCGTCGGAAGCCCACTCGCCGCCGTGGGCGCACCTGCAGGTCTAGCTTTCTTAGGTGGGCGTCCACGAGGTCTACCTGAAGACACCTTGGGCACTACGGGAGCAGAAGGGTCCTTCGGCTTAGGCGGACGACCTCTCGGCCTTGGCGGTAAAAGAACGGTCCCCGGCGGAAGAGGAATCTTCGGCTTGGGTGGACGGCCACGGCCTCGTCTTGGAGGGCCATCAGGGTTGGGCTTTATGTAATTGTTCTTAACCATGATGAGCTCTCCGCTTTCCTTCATCCTGTTCAGGTGGTGAGACAACAGCTGTGAGTGACCGGCAGGGATATCTCCATATTGTGACTCGATGTACTTCGATATGGCCGACTTGTTCGAGCCATTCTTTTCATTCAAAGCTGCGATCGCAGCTAGTATCATCTGAAACAAGAAAAATCAAACATACCCAGATGAAATTAAGAAGAGCGTCGCTCTATTTGGTAGCCAAAATGCGAAATGGGGAGACAAAAAAGCAAAGAACAAAAGAAACGGAATGTGGGTTGTTGAATTCGTGGGGAACGCATTTACCTCTGAGTACTGAGGAAGCGACTGAGGCTTATTAACCTCCTCGGTAGCCATGGTAGTTACAGAGAGAAACCCACAACCAAACAATTACAGTCTACAGAAAGGAAGATGAGAGAGGGAGGGAGACACGCACAGAGATAAAGATCAGACGGAGAGAGAAACAACTGTTCTGGGGAAATGAGGAAAGGTTCGAGTGGATTTAAAAAGGAGTTTTGGGATCGCATAGAGTAAAAAGGAAGAGACAATCGACGGCTAGGGATTTCTAATATGAGTACCATCGAAGGGCTAGAATTGATCAGCGAGAGGTTCACACAGATCGCTGGCGTGGATATTGAGCCATATTTTACTTCTTTTTATTCAATAATTACCGAATTAACCCTGACTTCGAGGTTAATTCCCAGGATGGGTCCGCTGGGGGTCTTTTCAGGTGGACCATGGAGGTCGTGCAACGTCCTGTCAATGGCGAGACCGGATCTGGTCCTCACATTTGGGCGCCTTGGAATATCTCCCATGAATAATAACATATAAGTACGAGAGATGATCTTCCTAATAAATGACACGATGTACGTGTGAGGCGCTTCATGTAAAGAGCCGATCCGGTTTCTACAACTACATCCACCATACATTGGGAATATCTCTCGTAAATAATAACTAATTAATACGGAAGGTATTCCCAATACATGATAGAATGTACGTGTAAAACGTCAGATGTGAGGAGCAGATCCGGTCTCTATCAATTGTGGGACCCATTTTTCTCAATGGGGTCCAGATAAGGACATCCAAGTGTGACAAAGCTCCCATCCACCACTCATTCGGCTGGCATCGGCTGACTGCACTCCTTTTTGATGATTTGACCCCAGGGGCTCCAAACGACTAGATCCCAATAAGGGACGTTGGAATCCATTAGCGCGGGCCCATGTGGGATCCACTAGTAGGGGAGGACAAGGGTATAATGAACAATTGAGATACTTTTACTGGAATAATTGGAGAGGTTGGGACGAATTGGGATCGGCTCGTCACACATGGCGTCTCGCAACGACCTCCCCTGACGAGATCTGTTCCTCACAAATGGGCGCCGCATGTACATCCACCGTGCATTGGAGACGGGATCTGCTCCTCACAAAGAGGCGCCTCATAGATACATCTATCATGTATTGAGAATATTTCCGGTAAATAATAAAGTATAAGTATGGGAGATATTCCCAATACATGGTTGAATGTGCCGTGTGAGGTCGGTGTGAGGCGCCTTATGTCAGGAGCAAATCCGATCTCATGCACTGAAAACATCTCCATAAATAATAATTAATAAATGTGGAAAATATTCCTAATACATAGTAAGATATACATGTGAAGCACCAGAAGTAAGGAGTAGATACGATCTCTAGACGTCTCACCGGCAAATCCACCGTGAAACTTCTCCTATGAATAATAATTTGTAAATGTAGAAGATGTTTCTAGGATGTACGTATGAGGTCGGTGTGAGGTGCCCTGTTCGAGGAACAGATCCGGTCTCTTTTCCAAAGCCCACACACACATCAATCCAATAAAAAGTGCAATTTCATTGCAACGTAACCTCAGTCCCCACCAAGACCGGATCTATTCATCAAGCATGGTACTTGGCACTGATCTCACAAATACATCCCACTGTGACTTGAGAATATTATGGGAGAGATGGAGAAGTGTCAGCAACTCATTTGTTTTCCGGCTTATACTTATCGTGAAGTAAAGCTCTTTTTTTTTACGATTTATTATATTATATGGCATGACGAGATGAAATGAAGTTAGGATTTCAAAATAATATTATTATATTGTAATGATAATGATGATGACGACAGTCATTCTTGGGCATTGAACGGATCTGATGTACCCTCATTCCAGTTTGGCTGCATGCAAGTTAGCACTTCCTAATCCTACCCTTGGGCCCGGAAACACCAGTTATGACTTTTGACTGGACTGACCCGGGAGATCACATTTACACCCCACCGGCGCCCCACATTCACGTTCAGCGTGCATTAAGAATATCTCTCGTACTTGTCCAATGGGGCGCTGATGTCGCGTGGTGCGGGCGTCTGTGGGAGCGCTGATGTGAAGCCGGTACTGAATACTGATGGTTCGACCGTTTAGGTTGTGTTTCGTATCTTCAAACGTCTTGGATAATTTGATGAGGGATTTGTCTTGTTACATCACAATTCACATACACATATTGGAGTCATTTATTTGGCATAACATATGTAATTAAGCAAGAGTAATTAATTACCACTTGACATTTAAGACGTATCCATTTCAATTTTCAACTATAAATAGCTTTAAACAATGGTTGTATATCAATTTGTATTGATCAACTCAAAAGTCAAAACGATTAAAGAAAGAAACAGGATTGATACCAAAACAATCTAAGAATCTTGCGAGAATGACGGCTTAGCTCAGGGTTAGAATTTTTAGGCCCAAAGTACAATTGAGGTAGATGTCAATTTAGAATTGATGCTAATTCACATACACTCATTCGTGTATAGAATGGGAATTTTTGACATTTTAAATGTTTATAACTCTGCAGTGAAATTCAAAAATCTGTATTGGGCAAATCTGTACTTTCCGTACAACTTATTAGATTTTAAAAACAACAAATAATGAAATGAACCTAAGTCCCTCTGTTGTTCCTTTGAAAGAAGAATAAGAAGGGTAAGACAATGGATTTATACGAGTACATCAACTTGGCCGATTTGCAAGTCTAAACACTAGATTTACAATTCACCCATTATGGAGATAGCAGCAATCCATCTCTCTCTCTCTCACTAACCTACCACCACCATTCTCCGGCTTACCAGAGCTAATTGGCTTCCATGTAAATTACACTTTTACCTTCCACTAAGGCTCTATTTAACTGCAATGCAAATATGGACTTCATCAAATCTAACACCTAATTCAAATTTGCATTCTTTTGTTTGAAATTATGATTTCCACAACCTGCTTAGTCCAAAATTATTACTTTTTTCGTCTATTTTGCACTCACTAGCAATGCAAAATTTGCATATAAAAACTGATACAAATTTTGAACCATTTTGTTCTGCTAGTGTTTTCAATTCACTATTGACTTGGCCAATTGAGCCATTCAAGCAGTCATTTGGCCAAAATTCTATGCGTTGCAAGGGCGCTATAGGTGCCTTGCCTTGCTATTTTCGTCAAAGAAAAAAAATTTTTTGAACTCAAATCGCAATTTTTAATATTTTTACAAATAAAAAAATTAAAAATTGAATTAAAAAACATAAATTATATATAAACTAATACAAACATACATACATACATTTTGCTAACATGACAATTTGACCCATTCAACCTGAACGATTCACTAATCGGTGACCCATGACCTGAAGACAAAAACATTTAGGCCTCTAGGTCAAGTTTTAAAACATTGATTCCTACTACAATTCTCTCTCATTCAAAGAGATTACCACATCATTTTGCTCCCTATCCCACTTCCAAAGAAGTAATGTTCATCCCATCTCCATTTTCTTTTATATCAGGTGGGAACCACTTCATTTACTTCTTATTTTACTTCTCACAAACAAATAAAGCAAATCCAAATCTGAAAAACAAAAGTAAACCAGAATTATTTAGCCAATTTGTTGTCCCATGCATTTGTTTAGTTTTTAAAAAAATGCAAAAACAAAACTATGTTCTTGAACTGTATTTTTGTGTTGAAAAGCAGGAAATGATTTAGTTTCTAAAAGAACACATGTTTTTAAAACCATCAAAATAATAGCTTTTAAAGAAAAACTAAATTCTCTACGGTAGAAATTATATGATTTATGGAACATGATACTAAGGTTGCGTTTAAGTGTGGTGGAAAAACCCACCATGTAAAAGTCAATCAATAGAAAAATCCATCATGTAAAAGTCCATCGGCTTAAAATTGCCTAGACTATTGAGAATTTTCAAGTGAGAATGGATGTAAAAGTACATCAATAAAAATCAATGTATCCTTTACATTGATTAACAATGTAAAAGTTAGCCAAAAAACAGGATTACATCAATTATCGAGGCAACTTTTACATGGGAAACAAATGGTTGCAAATGCGGACCAAGTGTAAAGTTTTACACCAAAAAACAGGTGTAAATGCGAACCGACGGTTGAATTTTATGTTGATTCACATTTACACCTCAATCAAACAAAGCCTAAATAACAAGATGAAAACATCATCTTTAAGCTAAAAATCTTATTTTTTATCGAAAATCAGAAATTCAAGAACACATTTTGTAATTTAGTTCTGGAAACAAAACACACAAATATAACCAGAAAAATGTTTTTTCTGTGTTTTGATTTTAACTTTCAATAACCAATTTGTTTTCAAACTAGCTGGTTTTGTTTTGTTTTTGGGACTGGGAATAAGGAAAACAATTCACATTGGAGAACACCCCCTAATTTTACAATTAATATGTTTTTTGGGTGCTGAATTTCTAATTGTGTAAAACAAAATTCCTAAAAATAAATAAACAAAAAGGGAAAAACTTAAAGTGGGAAAATAAGAGAATTTTTTTTAAGAAAAACATAAGATAAGTGTTTTGATGGCATAAGGAAAGGGATGGAATTAATAACAAGATTTTGTTGATTCCCAAAAGTTTTTTTTTCTTAAATGGAAATTATATTTTCCTTGCATAGCCATCTAAAAATGCAAGAAATTATATACCAATTGCAAAATAATTGAATGGAGCTAACTGATGACCCTATCTAAGAAAATAAATGTTCTCTTTGCATTTTATTGTATTCTTTTGCCAACCAAAGGCAGCCTAATGCTTATACAAACATTGGCTTTCGAGTTAGGATTTTGGAAGGGTGTTTTTTTTGGGGAAATTCTCAATCAGTACCCATGTACTTTTGGCCAATAGGCACTTTGGTCCCTAAACTTTAAAACGCGATAATTCATTACCCGAACTTTCAAAACAAGCCAATCCAATATCTACCGTTAATTAGCCGTTAAGTTGCATTTGAAAAGACACAAGTACCCTTCGAGTGTCATCTAATTTTCTTTATCAACCATCCAAATGTTGACAAAAAATGAATAGTCCCAAATCGTTGCCTCTTCTATTGATGAAAGTTGGGGTCACCAAAATGCCCATTGAGACGTGACCCCAAATTTCTTGAATAGAAGAGAAAAAAGATTTGGCACTGTTCATTTTTTGTCAACGTTTGTGTG